CAATCCCTCTTCGCTCGCCTCTTCAAGCGCCCCGTCTACGCCAACCACCCCCTCGCCCGCCGCCTCGCCAAAGACGCTCAACCGCCCAAACAACAGTACCAACTCCACCCGGACCTACTCCCAATCTTGCGCCCGCCCTTCACAAATCTAATCAGGAACTACCGCTCCCACCCCGCCATCTTGGCGATGCCCTCCAAACTCTTCTACTTCGACACTCTAGTAGCCGAAGCCGACCGCCACGAGCGAAACCGCTTATCATCCTGGTCCGGCTGGCGCGGCCGTCGGGGCTGGCCTATTTTATTCCATGATAACCCCTCCCCCGACGACCTCGAAGCTCCAAGCCCTGACTCTCCCCCCAGCAGCACAGCGACCACGGGGGGCTGGTTTAATGTGGGAGAAGCCCATCTAGCCTGTCAATACGCCTTATCGCTGTTTCGTTCAGGGCTGGTGAAGCAGAGCGAGATCTGCATCATGAGCCCGTTCAAAGCGCAGGTGCGGCTGATCAGAAGCTTGATACGCAGCGAGCAGTACGGCATGATGTGGGAGGTGAATGTCGGGCCTACCGAGGCGTTTCAGGGGTTGGAACACGGGGTTGTGATTTTGTGTGTGACGAGATCGATAAAATGTTGTTTGGGGTGGGTTCGGTAGTTGGGGTGGGGGGTTTTGCCGGGCCGTGTTCAAGTTAAGCAGCATGGGAATCATGCTGCCGCCGGGGGTGGGATAATAAGGAATCAATTGAATGTGGCGTTGACGAGGGCCAAGTTTGGGTTGATTGTTTTGGGGAGTAGGGAGGTTATGATGGGGGATGATGAGGAGGGCTCTGACGAGGAGGAGGAAGAGGACGACGACGATGACTACGGCTCTCAAGGGGGGGAGGAGGAGACTGGTGGTGAGAAGGAGGAAGATGATGGTAGGGATGCGAAGAAGAAAGGGAAGGAGACGAGGACTCCTCCTCCGGGAACGAGAGGAGAAGAGGGAACGGAATGGGCTCAAATCATCGCCTTCTGTGAACGTAACGGGTGCATCGCGGATAGCAACCCGGTATCAAAGTCCACATCAGCACAGAACAGTCGGAATGAGAATGGAGAGGGGCAGTTAACCAAGTGGGAGACCGATATGCTTCTTGCGGGGGGTAGAGGTAGGGAGCAGTCCATGTCATCGGAGGTTAGTGGAAGCGGTGCTAGTGGCACTGGAAGTGCCAGTGCCAGTGGAACAGGGGAGTGTAGCGATGTAGATGGGTTTTATTAGAGAAACAGAAGACAGAGATGTCAGTCAGGACTAGAGAGAGCATCAAGTTTGTGGGAAGAGAGAAACCTACCCACAACACTTGTGGGAAACTGGTTAGCGTGGCGTTTGGTGTTTCGGTGTTTGGTTTTAATTTCTTTCGGGAGTCCATGGGCCATGGTTCGTGGATAGCAATGTAGGTAGAGCAGCTGTAGAGGTACCGAGTTGATATCATAGTAGGAAGATACCTTAGCGTATGGACATCTTTTTTGCACACAGGGCCACCACCCACACACACATTTGGGCCTCCAATCCTCCTCTCCTGTTAAACACCTCGGCGCTAACAATGACATCCAGATCCAGATCCAGTCCCTCCCTGGCGTCGAATGCTCGTCTCTTCCTTCCTTCTGGTCCCGTTCCTCTAACAGACCAACAACAGTGAGTGGGAGCCAAACTTTCTATACTAGGTACACTGTACTGTGTTAGACGCATGTACCTTACCCTGCTTCCCCTCTCCTTTGAACTTTAGCGCCTTGAAAGAAGTTCAGCTACCCGGCGCGGCTGCCCACCCAGTCACGATATCCCGAGGTCTCATCGTCGTCCATCCGTCCAGGCATGCGCTGAATGTGCAATGCCATGCTCGCCCGCCAGCCACCAGCGCAGGTGCGCGCGGTTCGTGTCAATAACAACAGCTTGCTGACATGGTTTCCTCCCAGTTGTTACTCCCCCAGTAACACGGCCTCGCTGGAAGCTACGGTATCTATCCACGTTCTCGAACTCTCGTTTCTCGGCCAGGCTGTGTTGATGAGACCAGACTGGGACCCGTGCCCCTGAAAGGACATATGAAAGGTCCAGTCATCGAAGGCTGGAAAGAAGGTTTTTGGTGCCCAGTGAGAAGTGGAAGCTTCCACAAATCTTTCTTTCTGCAGACAGATTCCCGATGATGTTAATGGCGGTTACAAAAGTCGGGCATTCATTACTAGAACCTGCCAGGCGTCGTCAGTACCTCTAAGAATCTATCCCTCCACCCTGGTTGGTGATATCCGAGTTGAGTCGTAGAGGTAAGGTAGTTGATGTCCGGTGCCTGCTTTGGGGCATCTAAGGGACGTTGTTGTGGTGTTTCTATTGACTGAGGTGGAGATAGAGACGTTCATAGGTAGTATGTGTTTCTGGCGGAGACCTTTGATGGTGATGATTTTCCTTTTGTTGTTATTTGGGACTGGACCCTTTGCTTAGGTATCCCGAAGGAACGGTCCCATCCACCGATAACATATCAATGAGCCCGTGGTGGGCACAAGGAGTTGGCGACCTGACCGAACCGACCGTTAATAATTTGATTAAGGTACCTTCTTTGTGTTGTTCTGGGTCGGCTAAACCTGGGAAGAGATAGGTAGATGGAAAATCTTGTGAAGAATTGAGACGGGGAGACGGGATGAACACGGGTACTCGGCGCTGGATTATGTTTTTTTTTTTTCTTCTTTCTTTTGGTGGTGATGATGCTGAGACAGAGGGCATCCTGGCTGACGGTCTCAAAATCCAGTTCACTCAGGGCGGAGGAAACGAGGAGGAGGAGGCAACAACAGCGAAGGTGGAATCCATCCATGCGAGAGGGAGCCAGATTTGCGTAAGGGGTATAGGGAGTTATTCATTCCAGGAGAAACTAAGGCCGGTCGGTGTTAACGGAGAGGGAGACGGATTGTTTGCGGAAGTTTTTGTGAGGAAGGCGTACGCCAAAACGCTCACTGGATGAAGACCCGGACAAGGAGAGGATGTTTAATCGGCTGGATAAATACGTGCCTTACGAGGAGTTTGTCAAGGTTTGGGAAGCTGCCGAGGAGTAAGTAATCTGTTGACGAGGTGGTACATCATCTTCTTTCCCTACCGGTGCATGTGGATCAACAAAGACCCCGGGATGCGATCCCCCGACGATGAGCACAATACCTGTACTCAGTACAAGAAGATGTTGGATGCTATTGGCCTATTTCTGGAGAGATATCATGAGATGGAAAAGAAGAGGTTTTTGTGTGTCTGGATGGTGAGCTCCTCGTGTCCCCTTGTTTACGAACAAACTGGTCGAAAGGCAATACTAACAGGAAGTAGAACTTCGCCTGCGTAGACCAAGACAATTGAATCCCACCTCGGGAGTCGCCACGCTGCCAATGATTCTAGCCCAGTCCGACGCAGTCATCAAGTCTCGTAGGTGACGAATGCCATGAGAGAGCATAGTAGCGCTCGGTTGAAGCGTTGATGATTCAGACGCTGAAGAAGGCATATATGATGTGCATTTGTGGTATGAGCACGTTGCAGCGGACAACGACGAGGAAAGAACGGGGGGGTAGGCGATGGATGCTGCGCGAGACGCGGACTGACAGGGACATCAACTTGGCGAAGAAGAAATTGAGCTTGGAGGTTGATCGAATGAGGGTGATGTTTCCGGAGAGACAGAGTCGGCTTTGTGAGGTTATTGCTGCGATTGGTCGGGTCGGGCAACGAAGGGCAACTTTAGCGTTCTGGACTGCTGGGACTGCTGTGTTCGGTCATGCTTCTATGATGCCGCTACTGCACTTTAGGGCCAAAAGATCGGGGCCTATCTAGATTCCAAGTTTTCTGGCCGACACTTTTGCCGCGCCACACCTCGGCGAATCGGCCAAGCCGGGGCAAGAAACACTTCTCGCTGTGCCCTTCTGGCCTCGGTGCAAATTCCATATCCTAGTGCACTGGTACATGGGTACCTTTGCGGATTGAGGCACAGTGACAGGCTCAGCATGAAGGTAGGTAGACTGGAACAGATACAATTGAAGCACCGTATTAGTCAATGGAGTGAAAAGGGGAATGCCAAAGGTTTTGGCTATGTTGCAAGGATGCACAAGTAAGTGTCTTTCATTGAGCTTGTTGTCAGACCAAGGTAGCAACAACAAACCAATGCCTCAATGGTCTAGTGGTATGATTCGCGCTTCGGGTGGTGCAACTGCTCCTTGCTTGTACACAAGCAATACCAATGTGCGAGGTCCTGGGTTCGAATCCCAGTTGAGGCCCTTCTTTTTGTCTTTTTCTTTTTGCTTCTATGCGTGCTGCATGCGTGGTGCTGCTAGTGCAAGATCGAAGCTTTACCGACATGGGCAAGAACGGATCAGGCCGGATGACTCATATTTGTTGTAGACCAATCTCTGTGTCAGTTCTATTAACATCTATCTATACCCAAGTCTATTTACCCAATCCATTAGGAAATCCCGATTGCTCCCTTCTATCCAGTGAGTGTCAGATCCAACTCTCCCTTGTCTCATGTCAAATCTTCAACCGTCCTGCATCTATCTATCTCCCCCAAAACCGGGCAACAAACCGCCTCTCGAACCCTTTCCCACCACCATGCCCTCGCCCTATTCCCACGTCCAGATCAACCCTCCCCCAAACCCCCTCACGCCTTGATAGGCGCATAAAAGCTAAACCGTCCCTTAGGATCATACTTCCTCTTCAACTGCTTCAACCGTTCCTGCCTCCACCCTTCATACCCATACATCGCCTGCTGACTCTCACTCCCCTTGGCATAATTCACATACACGCTCTTCTGCTTGACCTTCTCCCCATACGCCGCATCCCTGATCTTCTCGCCCCACTTCTGCGCTGCCGCATCCAGCGTCTTGTTCCTCGCGGTGTCCTCGTACGTCACCAGGAACCCGTACAACAACTTGCGGTCGCGCAGCGCAAAGGCCGTGCTCTCGTAGGGCACGGCTTGTACTGCTTGCAGGGAGTAGCCCTCTAGGTAGGCCATGGAGAGTGAGAGGGCTGGTTCGGCACGGATCATAGACCTAAAAGCGTTGTAGGATTGCCGGAGGGCTTTGACGTCGTAGGTGTCGACGTCCATGCCGTAGACGGTTGCCCCGGCCTTGGGTTGGCAGGCCCAGTCGGTGACGCGGAATTGGGCGGCGGCGGCGAGGCCGGGGTAGTCGGTTGTTAGGACGGGGGTGGTACTGAGGGGGGAGAGAGCGGCGA